TACAGGTCATTGGCCCAAATTAGGGAATCTCCTTCTTAGCAGCAAAGGCTGCTTCTGCTTTGGACCGGCTCATAACACCCATTACATTTATTTGGAACTGAAAATTAATGTTCAACCTGTAACCAATCGCTTTTTTGTGTTCTACATGCTTGATAGAAAATATTTTCTGAAATTGATTTATCCATTACTATTTTTATTATTTGAGAATTTTCTGAAATAAATTTATTTCACTGATTTAAATAATATCAGTTCAATTGAAAATGTGTTAATTTTCAGTCACATGACCTTTTTTGATTTTTTTGTAGCAACTTCGGTTTAAAAGCACTGGTTAAAAAATGTATTTATTTTTTTGCAGTGAGGAAGTTATAAGGTGATTTTGGTTGAATTATTAATGAAATTATCACTTTAGTAAAATTCTGGAACCTTTCATTAGACTGCTGGTTGAGGAAGGCTCTGAGTTGTTGTTTTCAAGTATCCAGTTTTAAGTAGAGTTTAGGAACAGTGCTGACTTCAAATTAGTGAGTATAATAGTGAGTTGGGCAGCTTGCAAAGTTAACATCTGTAGTGATTGCTGATGAACAGCAGATCTTAGCTCCCCAAAAGTTTTTAGTCTGTTTGTCTTGACCCTGAAACTTCTTTAAGTAAAAGACAAATATTTTCTACTTTAAAATAAAATGTATGCAAGTAATTGCACCAATTTTATTGGTTAAATACTGATTGTTTTATTAGTATCCCAGAAAGTGAAAGGGAGCCATTTAAAACAGACATTTAAAAATAGCCAAACTCCTTTTGTCTGTTTAATTTCATAGTAGGCCTACTATGACTTTTCCCAGTCCCCATATTCCCCACTAGATGGTGGAATAACACTCATTATACAAGAAACTAGAAATAAAAGAAACTGAGTTCAACTGGTGGAGAGACTTAAATGATCCACAAGGGGGGGTGTTTAACCCCAAAACAACATTTCATTAAGAGCCTTGGTGCTGCTGAAGTGGGAGTCCTAAAAGTGACATAATCCTGAACACTTAATATATGGACATTTGCTCAAAGGTCCCATGGCAGGATGATGGAAATGCTTTGGATTTAGACTTCAAATGATTCATGCAGTTTAAAAAGTTTCTATCATATACTGTGGATCAGACAAATGCAAACTGATCAAAGCGGCTGTTTGCATTAAAAAAATCAAGGTTCCTTGATTTTTGTAATGCAATTCCTCAATCTACTTGATCTACTGGGCAGCAAAGCCTAAAAATCAGGAGAATTTATATTTTTTTAGACATAATGTGTTGTACAGTAAATATGTATGTTAATGCCAAAAAAATAGTTTGTTTTGTTTAAATAATATTAAATATTGACTAATAAGAACCAAGACTTAAAATTTTCCGTAAGTCCACCTCTAACAAATTGAACTAAAACTGTCCAGAGAAAACATTTGAGTATGAAAGATCATGTTTTAATAGCCCAAGAGAGGTGATTTTAAAATATTGAATACAGCTTTAATTAAATAGTATCAGCTTAAATCCACACACATCATACTTTAAAGATGAATAAGAAGCATATTGTAAAGTGTTTTATATTGTGGAACTTACTGAGGATCTACACCATAATATCAACTAAATCAGTGATTTCTGAATAAAATAAGTCCTCTTTTCTACTTCTTGCTTTTGTTTATTTTTTCAGGGGTCATATCATGTACCAATCAGCTGAGTAACTGCAACTTGTGGCCTCGATAACAAAGGCTCACATTCACCACTTTCTTGATGTTTCATTATTCTGAGAAATTAGCTGGAACATTTGGACTAATTGCTGCTAATTGGCCATAATGAGCGCGTAGTGGAGCACAGGAACGGTAGTGATTTAGATGATTAAGAATGTCTTGCAGAATTCTTTAATTAAGGAATGCATATGCAAGCTTTAGCGTGGATGTATGGAGATGCTGTAATTTCATTTGCTGGCTGCAAGTTATGTACCAGTGCTTTGGCTGATGCGCAAAACAATATGTTTAGCCATGGTGCTTAATTAAAGATTGGCTCTGCAGGATATAAAAAAAAAGAAAAAGTGACATGACTGATAGTTATCGGAGGCTGGATAACTCCCTGACTAAAGGATACTGCAGACAGCGCACTCTTACTGATGCATACTCTGGCTCTTGGTTGCCTAGATTGTATATTTAAAGCGTATCTTTCTGTGATAAAATTTCCTTTGGAGTCAAACAGGTCACCGAGGGTCTGATGAGACAAGCTGCCACCAGAAGACGCTGTGCTGCTGCCATTTCTCCAAGGTGCAGGCTTGGAGAAATCTGCTGCTCTGAAGGTTGACCCCTAGATAATAGGTTTCACCCAATCCAAATCCTTGAAACATTGTTTTTCACTGGGTATCTTAAAAACGTTGTTTGATAACTGTATTTACTAAAAAACAATATATATACATCCGTTATATAATATATCATGCATAATAAAATAAACCCAAAAATAAATATGTAGGATTCAGGAAAAGAAAACTTTTGCATAATAAATCACTAATTAAGATAAAAGAATGCATGAAATATTAGATGGACAAAACAAATAGTGAAACCAATAAAAATGGGTCTAACATAAATATAAATATGTAGTATATTTGATATAAATATTAAAGTACTGGAATGTAATCAACCAAATTAAAAAAGAAACATATTCTTTGCTGCTGATCTTTCTTATTGTCTCTTCTAAAGTGAAGAAAACATCAAAACAACAGTAGAAATCAAATCTATTCTAAGGTAGAATATATATATATATATATATATATATATATAGTAACCCCGACAACTACAATCAAGATGTAATGTTCACCAATGGCTGCCTCAGGTGGAATGAGCTCACCTTGTTTTCTATCTTATAGCTCTGTCACTATTATTGGTAAGAATGGATACACGCTAAAATCAATATAGGTTCTACAAATTACCCACAAAGAGACTAGCTTTTGCATTGTTGCTCAATAAGCTAAACCTACCTGGAAAATGAACAAAAATAAAACCATTCTAAGCAACAACGTTTAACTCCCAGTGACCACTAATTTAAAATACCATATTACAGCATAAAAAGCACAGCTTATATGTATCAGGCTCCAGAGCAAAATCCTTAAGCTGTTCTTTTTGGAATTGTTGACTTTTACTAAAGTAATGCTTTGATTTACAACACAACTTATTACTGGATACAGCATACAATTAGTAATAACAACAACAGATGATATAAACAAAATCTTAACAAAATGCTCATGCAGGACTTGTTCCCAACATAAAGATGAAGTTTATCAATTTTAGCAATTAAACTTTAAAGCATTTTTACAGTTTAATATAAAATTATTCCAATTATCTTAGTCACCAACAGAGCAACATATGATTTGCTATTTTGGTACTTTGTTGTAAATCGTTAACTAATCAAGAAAGACATCTATTTCTTTTTCTTTGCTGTACCTTTGATGACATCACAATATGCATAAGCTTTAGAAAATGTTCAACTATTTTTTTCTTTGCATTTTTATTTTTTCTTGATATATTTTTAATCAAAATCATAATAAGTTGTGCATAAGATTTGAGCTGTACAATTTCCCTATAAATTGTAATTCAAACACAGTATTTTATGAAATATCCATGTTTAATAAATCATGAGTGATTTACTTTATTAGAGGAAAGTGTCAGGTATGTTAAATTGACAAACTAAAATGCATTAAAAAAATATTTTTAAATTATTAGGTAGATATTTTATGTCCTAAAAATGGTTTAGTATCTTTTGAGAAACACCTGAAACCATACAGGTGTGTTTCGGTAAATGATTTCATTTCTAAATATCTTCTTGATTTTCCACCACATTGATCAAATCCAGTTAGAATAAAAATCAGTTTAAAGTCATTTTAAAAAGCTTTATTTTTGTTTGGTTGTTTTTCCTCCTGCTATAAGCCGTGATTCATATTTTGATAATAACAATAATCCGTTGAAGCCAAAGCACAGTCCGTTTCCTGTGCCTCTGTGTAAAATTGCGCAGATGATTGGGTTAAACTGTAATCGATCCTTGAGCATTAAGGCAAGACGCGGTACTAAGGGCTACCTGGACCTGTGCTGCTGAAAAGTAGCTACTTGAACACTGTTAACTTCACATGAGAGCCTCTCCTTCCGCCAGACTAGATTTTTCTCCCCTCTCTTTTTACAAGGGTGTGCATCTGTATTTGGGTAACGCGCTGCTCTCCTCCAATGACATCAAACGCAAGAAAGGAGAAAAAAATAACTCAGGGGTTAATCACTACGCAGCCACTTAACACGCCGATGTATATTTATTTACTTATCTGGTGTTTTTCCCTCCCTGCAAGTGCACTTTTGCATGTCTGAGTACGATAAGGCATAACACAAACAATCCTGTAATCACTGGAGGCCTCTCATGGCCATTAAAAGTCAGTAGTTCAACCGAGGAGTGGTTCTCCAACTCTCAAGTCCGTATAGGCCTCCTTCCTTCAAGAGGCCCTCGTAAACATCACTACAGTTAATAAAGTGCATTGTGGTCAGGAAGCAAACAGCAGCAAGTCGCAAACTCCAGAATGCAGAAGCCGGAGCGCGCGGACACCGCCCCGCAGCAGCGCCGGGGATGAGCGCTTATGATCATGTGCGGCGGCGCTTATGTTATTGTTAGTGGGAGGGGAGCACATGTCTTCTAAGTGAAATTACGCTAGGAGGGGAGAGCTGTTTTTTTTTTTTTTTTTTTGTATTGTTGGCTATGCCCCGCCTCTGATGGTAGCCTTAAACCTGGCACCCGGCTAAAACAAACCAAAGCCAGCACCGAGCTCCCCACTCAATCCAATTAAAGGCGCGACTTGAGGCGCTCTTCTACGTGTTCATCTACCAGGATCGACGTTGAGACAACAGGAACCAGAGGGGCTTTGGCCAAAAAAAAAAAAAAAAAAAGAAGGGGGAGAGAGAAGAGAAGGAGAGATTGCCTTGCCTTCTAATTTCTCCCTCTCCAAGCCACAGAACAATGTCGATGAGCCCTAAGCATACGACTCCTTTTTCTGTTTCCGATATCTTGAGTCCCCTTGAGGAGAGCTATAAGAAAGTAAGTATGGAGAATAACAACTTGGGGGCACCTCTCGCTTCCTACCGGCAGCCGCAGGTCTCCCAGGCGGCGATGCAGCAGCACCACATGGGCCACAACGGGACTGTGTCAGCGGCTTACCATATGACTGCGGCAGGTGTGTCCCAGCTGTCACACACTGCCATGGGGGGGTACTGTAACGGCAACCTGGGTAACATGGGGGAGCTCCCGGCGTACCAGGATGGGATGAGGGGCAGCGCAGCGGCCACCGGCTGGTACGGAGCCAACCCCGACCCGCGCTTCTCCACCAGTGAGTATCCACATCATTGCTCAGTTTTTACGCTTTAAATCTGATTTTATTTTGTGGACACTATAAAATAGAGTTTAAATACATTATATCCTCCAATTAAGATTGATTTTTTATTCTCCTACATCCATTTATATAGCATGTTCCATCAAGTGCAACATCTGGAGCGCGAGCGCTGAGATAAATTAACATTTTGTTTTTGGGTGCTGCATATTTAAAGAAAGAAAAGAAAAATCGCTCCTAACAAATTGTAATTTAGCTGATAATTCCAGAAAACTAGATGGACAATCATCATAAATATGTAATGCGTTTCATTATTTGACTGTATAATATAAAATAAAAAAAGAAAGAAGCATATTTGCACATTTATTTTCCGTGATCCAATAGCCAAAGGGATACAGCAGCAGTTTCAATCTGTTTTTGCTGTATTATTTTTATCTAAAATGAACGACCTGAGTTATTTTAACTCTCCAATTATCTTTTAAAAATCAGATAAAACTTAATAATGGTGTTTGTTTATAGATTTAAACACATAATATTAGCCTAATTTTTAAACTAGTTAACTTGTAAACCAAAGTAGAATGCTAAGCTGTGATTTTAGTTTCCCTACAAATGAGTCCATAGCAAATAAGTTCTTTTTTTATATATACATCGATCGCATTTTTCCAAAAGTGGTATTAATAGAGATTTGTGTTTAATTCAAGTTCAAATCTTTTCCCCCAGTTTCTCGCTTCATGGGCTCCTCGTCAGGCATGAACATGGGCAGCATGGGTAGCCTCGGTTCCCTGGCGGATGTGGGCAAAGGCATGGGCTCCCTGTCCAGCACCCCGAGGAGAAAAAGACGGGTGCTTTTCTCACAGGCGCAGGTTTACGAGCTGGAGCGCCGCTTCAAGCAGCAGAAATACCTGTCGGCGCCCGAGAGGGAGCACCTAGCGAGCATGATTCACCTGACCCCGACCCAGGTGAAGATCTGGTTCCAGAACCACCGCTACAAGATGAAGAGGCAGGCCAAAGACAAAGTGTCGCAGCAGCAGATGCAGCAGGAGAGCGGCTCATGCCAGCAGCAGCAACAGCAGCAGCAATCTCCTCGGAGGGTGGCCGTGCCTGTGTTGGTAAAGGACGGCAAGCCGTGTCAAGGCAGCGGTCACACACCCACGTCCTCCACGCAGACACATCACCAGCAGGGAGGCAATGTTATGATCATGTCCAACAACGCATCCGGGCTCAGCCAGCATCAGAGCCAGCAGGTGGGAAGCACGGGTCACTCCCCAGATTTGGGGCAACACTCCTCCAGCCCGCCGTCTCTGCAGAGCCAGGTGGCCGGCCTCTCCCACCTTAACTCCCCCGGAGCGGAGTACGGCTCGGCCTTACAGTGCTCGGCCCTGTTGTATGGCAGGACGTGGTGACAAGAAGCACCGGCTATGATTAAAAAAAATAAATATCCCCTCTAAAGTAAAATAAGACATGTTTCAGCACACATGCACGAATTTGAACAAAAAAGAAAAACCCCGAGAGAAACCGATGAAGCTTTTTATTCTAAGGAAACTCAAATGGAAGAAACTTTTTTGTCCCTCATAAACTGGATGTGAACGTCCTGGGATTTATTTATGTAAATTATATAAAGAGACAAAAGAAGATTGTTTCCGTAGACTAATAGCCAGGGGACACCTGTCTCTGAGCAGGACGCATAAGCACGTCTGGACTGCAGAGAAACACATGCAATCTGCTTCTTTCTAATAGAATTTAATGTACGCCGTAGTTCTAGCTTGTATATTTCTGTAAAATGTTTGAATCATAGCTCTTTGTTGTACAAACCTTTTGATGCTATTGCTAGTTTGTTGTGGTTTCATTGGTATTTGTACGTTTTATTTCTTTGTAACTTATATAGATATTTGACCTACAAAACCGTCTTAATAATAAATTATGGAAACGAGACAGCTAAACTGTTCTCTTGTGAAATATGTTCGCACCTGCGCTGTGGCATTATGTGGAAAAAAATATTGAAGAAAACATTAGATTATTATTATTTTATGATGCAGAATTAAATTTTTTGTTAATTTCCAAACAAAGCTGATCAAATAAGGATTTTTTTCAGTGTGAAAATTACAAAATCAATATTAGATATCAGCACTCCTTTTTGTATTGATTCTTTTTTTTTAATTTTTCAATTAATCGCAGGGTTGCGCCCGCGTGGCCCGCAGAGTAAACGACTTTGTAGCCTTTATGTGTTGCTTTTTTTTCCCTTCACTTCTTTTTCCGAATGTGTACTCACTGAGTCAGAGAGGCGAGGTCTCTCGGAGCTTCACATCAAACACAAGCGCTGCTCAAAGGGCAGCTTATCGATGAAATCCCTCACCAAACAGCGCGCGGAATTCTTCTCGAATGACGGCGCGAGCCCTTATCAGCTGCTTCATCAATAATCAATCAGAGGATCTGAAAGGAAAGGCGATTGGTGCGACTTCACGTCACTCGTTTTGTTTAACTTTCGTTCTTTGACTTGTTGTATTTTAATCATAATTTAGACTATAAATTATATCGTCACGATAGCAAACCTGAATAATTCTTGCTTTTCTTTCGTTGAATAAAAGTTAAGCCACGCCCTTTAACCAACTTGTGTTTAAATGATAGATGCAATTGTAATTAAGGTTGCCATAATAAGCTGTTTTTAAATTTAGTGAATTCATGTTTCCTTCAGCAATCGCCTTTTATTTTGTTTGTTTGTTTTTCATTATGTTATTATCCGTTCAGCACAGGACAGCCTATGCTGTAATATGGTCTATATGATATTTACTGACTTCTCTATGTCTGTGCTGCTGATTTAACCACACTATGCTGTTTATGTTCAGAAGCGGCACAAGGCACACGTGAGTTAAGCTGGTTTTAACCCCCCCACCCCCCGCCAGGTAGGCAGGGGTCCATCTGAGAGCGCAAGCTTTAACATAAGGGTAGATCTCCAAAATTCAAATTTGAAGTTAAAATATTCAAAAATGTACATGCAATATTATTGTTAATAATAATAATAATAATAATAATAATAATAATAATAATAATAATAATAATAATAATAATAATAATAATAATAATAATAATATGGATAAGCGTGTTGAAACTGGGCACGGGAAGAATTTCTGCTGCTTTTGTCTGTGCTGCAGTCAGACTCTATTGAGATTGTTGCTGGAAACTGCAAAATAAATCACTGACAATTCCTCCTTTCTGACTTTTTCTGCGTCGGCACTGGGATTCTGCAGACAGCTGTAAAACCAAACGACTAAGCCAGAGAAATAATCTTGGTTCACATTCTATTTATTTATCTATATTCAATCAATGCTTAATTAAATAACTTGAAACTCGAACCTTTATCTCATTCTAACTCTTGTCATACCAACAAGCTCTATGCTCATACATACCTGATATATATAGGCTATATATATATATTTATTTATTAAATTTTTTTTTTTTTTCAAGTACAAATCTGCAGATGTGTCCATAAAGTTCATGTCTGTAAAATAACATAACTTCATTGGAGAGGAATGGAGGATTTTTTTTTACTTATTATCCTCTCAGGTTTCTTTTTAAACTCTTAGTCTCACCAGAGCGTTTGGAAAGACAAAAACTCGTGCTTTGTTCAAAATGATCAAATTGGCCTAATATAATCAATCTTTGCCTTTTCAATTTGCTCTTGATACGTTTTCTCAAAATCTGAATTTAACTGTTAATTGTTAATAGTTTATCGGTTTTTGCGCTTAGTTTAATTGACATTAATTTACATATATATTTTTTTAATCTTTTATTTAAGCAATGCATGTCGCAATATTTTAGAAGACTTTTTTATGCTCTTTTACGAACAGCTGTCAAAAGCTGAACGTCCCTTCCACAGTTATTATTAAAGAGTTGAGTTAACTCAGCATACGACTGCATTTAGGCATGTCCTCTGACACTTTTACTCCAGAAGCAAGCTGAGCTGAGGCCTCCCGGGATAAATAAAAAGCGCTTCCAGAGGACCTTTGAGTTAAATTCTCAAACCCAGCATCAGAAACTGTCTTCTATTAGGTATTTTTCAGAGCTGGTTTTGTTCACGGAGAGAAGTGAGAACTTTGGGATTACATTAACATGTCTTTGGCACCGTGTGTGGTCTTTGTGCACAGCTTGTAGCTGTCGAGAATGACTTGTTGGAAGCGTGTGCGCTCTCATCGCTCTCCTTTGTGGAAAGCCCACGGTGCAGCTCCCCGAGTCCTCCTGGCTTTATGGTGGGCTGCCTCAATGAACCCCAAGCAATTAGTCTCTAATCTCAAGGTAATCATATTTGAGTTAGTGACTAGCTGGTGAATTTTATTCGCCTCTTTAACACTGGATTCCCTCTGTGACAGGTTGAAGAGAAGTTTGAACGGTTATTAATTGTGTGTGCGTCTTAAAACTAAAAGAGGAAAATTAACAAGAACTTAAAAAAAAACAAATAAGTGCAGCACGTTGTAAAATGAAGAATACTCGATTTTGTAAATGGTGCTATTGTTGTGATTATCATTATTATTTTAAACGTATTCAAATGTGAAATTAAGGTGATGCATAAATATGTTAAATGGAACATAGACGAAAGATCCTAACACTTTTACCAAATTACAGGGACTAATTTTAGATCGAAATGTATCCACGATTTTCCTGCGAACTAAAATAAACGGATACTAAAACACTAGAGATTTCTCTTAATGGAAATGAATGTAAGAAGAAATGTAGAAAAGTTTGCTATAACAAAAAATATATCGTATGTGACTTTTAATGTGTGAAACATGTAAATATGAAACATAATTTTGTCGTTATTTTACACCTAATGTGTCACAGTAAGTCGGTTTCTATTGTAAAAGCAGGAATACCAGCTAGGAGCTGTCCGTGGTTCTGAAAAACAGAAAACTGGAGAAAAAAGGGGGACAAAGCAAGGGATGCTCTCTCTCTCTCTCTTCAACTTTTTTTTTTCAAGCAATCATTTGACGTTATCAAAAAAGACGTACCGTCTTTAAAAAAAATCTCACTTTCTGCCTCCTTTCAAAGTTCCGAGGCATTTTGTTGCTGCAGGCCCGAGCATTCACGTGCATTTCAAATGGGACAATTACACGGCAAACTGCAATCACCCCCCTTTGGTAAATGTTATTGTGAGCTAGATGCAAAAAAAAAAATCTTTAATTGTCCTGCGTTTATCTGCTTCTTCAAACCATTGTGCAAAGAGCGCAAACGAGGGTCATTTGCGAACTGAAATACTTTGCATGCAAAGCGGAGCATAAGATGCTGTAATACTTGACCTTTCAGCATAATTGTTGCAGGCATGAAATGCAGTATTCAGGGCTCACTGAGTGGAGTCTTTTCTCTCTCCCCTCCCCGTGATGAACATAGCAAATTTTTACATCTTAGGTGTACATTCGGCTTTGTTTCTTTTGAAGACTTTTTTCCTGGTGCTGCCTGCAATTTAACTTCATTTTGATAATACTGGCCGACAGGGGAAAAAAAGAAGAAAATAAGAAAGAAGAGAAAACCACACTTTTGACAATCAGAGGGGTTTTTCTCCAACTGAAACCCTAAATGGACTTATCTTCAGTCTTAAAAGACAGAAAGTTTGGTTTGATTTAAAAAAAAAATGATTTCTACATAGCGAGCTTTCAAAAATATGATTCTTCTCTAACTGAACTTCTATTTTGATGCAGGCATCTTAAAAGAAAGTGATAAGCAAAATAAAGATATGTCTCATAGGGCTGCCTTACTTATTTGTTTGTTACTTAAGAAATATCTGCAATGATTAAAGCTTAAAAAAAAGAAAATAAAGGAAGTTTCAGGAATATCATAAATACATAATTAAATTTCCCTTGTTAAGTTAAACCATACCACACTTTTCATGTTTTTGGTCAGCTGTGTTTTGACTTCTCTGACTAGGGTCAAACATGTTGTTTTTCTTTCCAACAAGCTCTTTTAGTAGTTTGGTTTTGGCAACTCTAAAAAATTACTTTGTTGTTCATAAGGCACTTTTCTGACAAATTTCTTGGTAGGATTAAGAAGATCCTGTTGAGAACAAACTTGAATTCCACTGTCTGATGAGTTGCGATGTTACTTAGATATTTCCATAATGTTCTTTTGCTATGGTTTATCTATTTTGACAATTGTAGTTATGAAACAAATATCTCACTTGTTATTCTATTATTTAGTTAACCTTCGTTATTCTGGTATATCTTAGCTCACCTAAAACTTTTTTTTGTCTAATTTATTGTTAGACATTAGGAAAAAACTATTATTCATCCTTTAATAAATTGATTAAGGCAGAAGTTACATCAGATTCAGTTTAATAAACAATATTTGCCCTAGAAAGGTCTACTTAGTAAATTAATTTAAACTAGTAAAAGTCCCAGAAAGATCTAAGTTGCGTGCTTCATTTAAAGAATTACTATACATATGAATAAAGCAAAAGTTGTAATAATTGCAAATAGTCGTTAACTGATGAACCAAACCAGCATTTAGTTATTAGAGATAAAATAAAAAGATAAAAATATAAAACAAACAAATCTAGGTTGTTCCATTAGTTATTCAACTACATGTAACAGATGAAAACAATACATCTTTAAATTCATTACAAAATAGAAGAGTGTCATCATCATGATCATGACTATTCTGTGAGAATAAACAAACCAAAGCATCAAAAACAGCATAGACCAACACATGTAGTCTATGTAGGCGATTAGTTTATCGCCCTATTTACATCAAATTAACTATATGCTCAAAAAGGCTACCTAATGTTTTTGATCCCTTTATGGCCTGTTTGTACATTACACACATATTTAGGTGTACTTAGCTATAGTTGTCCAAAATGTATTCCTGTAAAAAAAAAAACATGTAAAAAAAAATAAAATTAAAAAAATAGGTTGTGAAATGCTCAAATTAAGCAATTTCGGAATATCATTCCTAACCCTATTTATTATTCACAAAAATCTAGGTATAGAGTATAGATTATAGGTATTAAGAAACCAGAATTAGCTTTTACATGAACAATAATCCCAAA